TTAGGCTCTGATTTTCCTAACTCGACAGGACGCCATCGTTTAACGAGTTCATTTGCACTTAGCATATTTAAAGCAATCAATATTAAATATTCTTTGCCACCTTATCTTGGTCCACGGTCTGTTGAATCGGAGCTTCTGGAGTTGCTTCTCCGGGGCTTTTCCGTAACCTCCATCGGTTTCTTTTCTGGTTGGCGTTAGGCTGCAGTGCAGAGGTGAGGCGACTGGAAACGTTTGGCTTTTTGACTGTTAGCACTTGTTTAAGGCCTGTCTCCCCTAGAAACTCCACCAGTTGCCACCTTAGGCTGAAGTACCCACAAGGGTTGTTTAAATTCAAAATAAACCAAAACAGTTTTGGGGTTTTTTGTTGGGTTTTTTGTTTTTGTTTTTTTTAAATAATTGCTTATCGCCAGGAGAAGTGGGAGGCTGTAGCGGCTGCAGCGGTGCTGGTTTGGCTGGGGAGCGGGCGGGTTCATCCAGGCGTCTCCCAGAGGGAGCAGAGCTCCGGCCGGGGCGGGTGCGTGGCCGTCCCGGGCGCCCGCGGCCCTGCCCCGCTCCTGGGGGTCGCTCTTTGCTGCAGCCGCTGGGTTCAGGAGAAGAGCGTGGAGACGGCCACCGCCGCCGTCCCTGCGTCACGACCAGGGCAGAGCCGAAGGCCGGGCCCCTGGGAGCAGGAGATCCTTTCAGCTCCGCGCTGGGGAAGGCGCTGCAGCTGCGGGCGCAGTGGGGCCGGGGCATTAATGTAGCTGAGAGCTGGATTTCGCAGTGCTCGGTGCCCAGCCGTGAGCCCAGATTTTCAGCATAGCTCCGCGCCTGCTTTTTCCCTGCTCTTCTAAAAATCCAGTCGTTCTGTTTTGGTGTCCCCAGAGCCGGGTTTCCCTGAAAATCTGCCGATGACCGGTCGGGAAGTCCAGCTGCTCCTCGAGGGCAGGTCTTACGTGCAGGCTCCACGGTGGCCTGGCCGGCAAAGCAAGCGCTAGGGGCTGAATCCACGCCTTTTAACAAAACCAACCAACCCACGGAACGGTGGCTGATAGGTAAGACGCACTCTGTATAGCAATAAGAAACACTTGCCTGCGTAGACGGTGGCCTGGGGCCGTCGCAGCGGCCGCACCGGTGACGGCTGATGGATGAGACCGGGGCTGGCGTGGGGAGGGTCCTCGCTGAGCCCGGGGCGCGGCGCCGGGGACCGCGGGAAGCCGGTTCCGGCGGCTCGTGGCCTTTCCTCCCGCCCGGGAAGGGGGCGAAGGGGTGCCCAGCTGAGTCAAGGAATTTAGTGCAATGACATAGGGGAGCCTTTTTTCTCATGATGCCTACTGCCCTTAAATGTTGAAACCGGGTCTTTGTAAGCAATGTCTGTGTATCTATGTGTATATATGAGGGACAAATTTTAAATTACTGCCTTTTTTTCCCTGTTTATTTTTCTGAGTAATTCCAGATGTACTTTAGTCTCTCTACTGTCAAAACTTTTATATTGTAAATCTGATGCTGGTGGCTTTTGGTTATTTGGTTTTTGTTTTTGTAAAAAAGAAAAAAAAAAAAGAAAAAAAGAAAAAAGAAAAAGAAAAAAAAGTCTGCATCTCTCTATGTTGTCAGTTTTAGGCTGTAAGTTCCAACTATCAATAAAAGCTCGAAATTCACGTGCCAGTGGTGGATTCCTGCAGGACACGCTCAGCCCCCGCCGTGCCGCATCCCACCCTCGGACCCTCGGCTTCGCTCCCCAGCTTCGGCCCCACCGCCCCGCGCAGGCAGGCGGAGAGCGCAGGCAGCGAGCGCAGGCAGCGAGCGCGGGCAGCATTCGCCATGGTGCCTACCGAAACCTGCAGGTTTCTTCTGCCCGCGCAGCCGGGAGGGCTGCCGGACCCGCGGCGGGAGGGCGGAGAGCAGAGGCCGGGGCCGCTGGGTTTTTAAGTCATCTGTTGCTGTCAGAGGTAAAGGCGGGTTTCTGGCCTGCGCTGTCTCGGGGGAGGCCCGGTGCCGCAGCACCACGGCTGTAAGACGAGCGTGGCTTTGCTCTCGCGGGTGCGCCGCTCACGGCCGGAGCACACGGCCGTGATCCCCGTGGGGAGCGGGGCCAGGGCGGCTGAGTCTGGGTGAAACCCCTGGGGCTGTGATGGCTGCCCGGCGCCGGGGAGAGGCAGGGAAGTGACGGCGGGGGGTTCTCCCTGCCACCCCGGGCGGTGCGTTCGCTTGCCCCCGGTTCAGTCTCGACCAGAGGCCCTTGGCCAGTGGCAGCTTTGCCAGATGTTTGCCTCTGTACGGGGCTGGCCCCCCCCTTTTTCAGCCCCTTTTGCTGAATCGTGTTAGTATAAGAAAAGCTCAGTCCCGTGGCTTCTTGTGCCAAAATCCTCAAGTCTTCACCCTGAAGAAAGCTGCTGGTGGTGAAGCCGCCAGGGCGGAGCAGGGCTGGCCTCCAGCACTTCGCTGGCTGTGGGCAGGCCCGAAGGCACGGCGCTGTTGGCATCCTCTCGGCTTGGCCCGGGGTGGCCTTGCAGGACGTGGTGAGGTGGTTGAAGGCTGGAGCCTCCTCTCGTGCCCCTCGTGTTTTCCAAGGGGCCCTGTCATGGTGGCTGCAGCCAGGGTTGAGAGAGCTGAAGTCCCGTTCCTGCGCCGACTTGAAGCGGTTAGGTTGGCTGGTCAAGGGGAACAAGATGCAGGTTTGGTACCAGGGCCTCCTCTCGCGGTCCCTCAGGGTGCCCAGCGCTCCCCAGCACCGGCCAGTGGGGGGGGAGAGCTGCAAACCGGCACCGTTGGGTTTCCTTTAACACCGTTCCCATCCCCTGCTGCAGAGCAGGGCAGTTTCCAGCGCGTGTCAGATCAGCAGCTCCGTGCAGCTGCCCTGCAGCTCCCACCCCTGCATCGCTGCTGCCGGGAACAGCGCTTTGCTCAGCAGGGACGCGTGGTGCAGGGAGCTGGGCCAAGGGGCCACCCTCCACCGTGCAGCCCCTGTTCCCGGGAAGAGGCTCTGCTGCAAGCCCGGAGCCCGCGCAGGGCTGACGAACAGCAACCAGCACGGCTGAGCCTCGGTGCCACCGGGCTCATCAAACCCGAGTCCCGCGGGGAGGAGTAAAACGTGGGAGCGCAGGCAGGAGCAGGCAGGAGAGCGCAGACCCGCGGCGCAGGACAGAGGCCCCCGTTTGCCACGGGGAACGCAGGGACGGGGGGCAGACGCCGCTGCGCCAGCAGCGCTCCCCGAGGCTGCGGCCCCACGAAGCGGGGGACGCCGCGTCCCCTCAGGCCAGGAGCTGAGCCCAGGCCCTGCGGTCCCGCAGCGCTGGCCCGGGGCAGCTGATGGCGGTGGCAGGGAGGCAAAAGGGCAGCCGCCATTTTAATTTTTTTTTTTTAA